AAAAATGCTCAAATCACAGTCTTATTGCAAAAGCAAATCCGAGTAGAAAGCTTAAATGTGAATCTTTGGTCCCTGATAAAGCGTGGGGGAGAGCGTGTAATAAACATGCCAAAGACCTCTGCCGAAAAATCGGCCACTTGTCGAGCTTCAGGAACCACGCGATTAGTCATTCGATCTGTGAATCATCGAGGCAAAGTCACTACTTTCTCTAGTTTCGTACTCTCTTTGCTGGAGGTCAACAGGTGCTTTGCAACTTATCAGAGAGCAACGCATGAATACTATCTACCTGTCAGGCATCGCCAGCACACTAAACGGCTAAAGGGGGGGGGAGAAAAGGAAGAAAATGCCGCATCAGACTTCCGGTCGTCTTCAGTTGTGATCGAGAACGGAACTAGAGTATGAGTCAGCCGCTCCATCTATGGATAGTTAGTGGCAGTGGTAACAGTACATACTTTTACTTACCTTATTATAAAAAAGAAAAAGGGGAGGGACCAGAACGTTCAGCGATCTGAATTTGAATGTAATTAATTACACTTATACGCCAGAAAAAGGCGCACATGAAAAACAACCTGAGGTTCCGTGAAATTAAAACTTTACTTTTAAATGGTTTAATAACTCAGGTTAGAATATTTTCTAAAAAACGTAATCTTAAAACTGATATCATACGCGAAATATTATGCATTTATGTCAGAAGTAATTGACCGGATTGGTTTCCTTTCGTAAAAAACATTTTAAAAAGCAACTTATATTTAAATCATTCTAAATGCTAAGGAAATAAACATCGACCATGTGGATTGGATTTTCAATGCTGGCTCTTCGCGTACTGGCCGTGCTTTAGTATTTTGATGCAATAAAAAATATCAGGCCACAGACGGAATGACAAAATATGGAAGCATTGTAAGCATGCAAAATGATATTTAAAACTGCAAACGAATAAACAAAAATGATAAATAAAGATGAATTTGCCTACAAGTGGCAACTGGTGTGTTTTTAGTATAATTAACCAGCGAAAATGAAATAAATCAACTTTTAAGTTTTGCTGCCGGAACATTAACCTTTCGCAGATTAAAACCCAGTATAGTAAAATAAACTTTTGAAACCTCTTTTTAAAATGCAATACGCACATAGATTTCCTAGTTATTCGTAAATTAGAAGCTTGTGATCTGTATTTATATACTTGTTGTTATTGTCATACATTATCGTTCATAACAAGTTATATTTACTCGTGCAAATCCCGCATTCTTTCGCCATAATTTTTCAATTCAGAGGCGTTTGAGTGATGGAAAGGATTATAAAAACCGTTCATCAGAAAAGATTAAAGCTAGTTCTCATTTTCAAATTTAAAATGATCTCGAGGTTAATCGATGTAAATATAATGTAAAATATATGACATAATGGAGTCCAGTGTAATCATCAGGGTATTATAAATATATCTGATAAGTTGGTCCGTGTACTAAATTTCTTCAGGTATCAATGTAATAGAATTTGCACAAAAAGCCGACGCAAGACTACGTGATTTTACTCTAGTATCTCAAAAGGTATATTTGAAAGATTCTATCAATTCCATTGACTCGGAAGCAGTGCATGAAGAGTATGAAATGGCAAATTGAGCAAAAAGACGCTAAATATTTGGACTGAACAATCACAGGGAGAAGAAGGAAAATTTACTACTTTGGTTTTGTAATACGGCAGGCAACAAGTTCGAAAGGAAAAGACTAACAGAATAAGAATTCTCATTACACAGCTGTAAAAAAAAACTTCACGGAACACATTTCAAATCCAGTCACTAATTACTAGAAATCAGAGACAATGATAAAAATTCACGAAAATCACCGATATAAAATACATCACGGGTTTTAGGAAATTTTTAACTGCGCAGTTCTTTTTATTCACTTTGATGGAAATAAATATTTTGAGAATTGTGATTTCACTTTCACCGTACGTCCTCTGTTTATGAAGAAAATTACAAACAGATGTAAAATATATGACATAATGGAGTCCAGTGTAATCATCAGGGTATTATAAATATATCAAAACTCTTAATTCTGATAATTTAGCTGAAGTTACCCATGGTCACTGCGGTTTTTAATAAGGAAAAATAAAACGATCTTGATGCTCGATTAAAATTCAACAATGACCTTCACTCGGAACATGACAATGGCCATCAGAATCATCGCATGCAAAGTTATGATCTCACGTGACGCACAGCCATTACACAAATCAAGACACGCGCATTAAGCGTGGATGACAACAGACAACCTGGGTATCTTCTAACAATCAGGAGCAATGTTATATTGATCTAAAAATAACCAAATTAAAAATCGTCGCTCAAAAATTGGAAGTTGAGTCATCAGCTTTTTCTTCTCATTTTCTTTTCCAGGCGTCCTGACTTTGTTCATTTTAGTATTTTACTTCGGAAACCGCAGAATGGTTACACGTGACTGAACAGAGATCGCAAAAGCAATCCCCCCACCCCACTTTTTTGTATTGTAAATACTCCGAACATCTACTTCGGTGCCTAACTTTACAACAAAAAGTAAAAAAATAGCACTAGCGTGAGGGAGCATCTTTTTTTTTATCCCCCCTCCAATCCATCCTCTACGCGCGTGCAGACTATGGCTTGCTTTTCACCCGCCTCCAGCCAGCTTCGGTTCGAAGAATATCTTTTCTACCTGCATGACTCCTGAGAGGGGGGAGGGAGGTCAAATTAAATGTTACAGTTGTTGCCAGTCGTCTCGAAGCTTTCAAGGCCATTTTCATTTACCCATAAACCAAAGCATGAAAATAAAGCCCCCAACCTGATATTGTTGACAAGGTAATCGAAAATTAATCCAGGAAAGCACTCGGACAACCTACATAACAACTCGAGAAGCATAAAACATACAACAAAAAGAATTTAGCACCCCTGTAACTTACCAATTGCTTAAAAGCAACTTTCCTACCGAGCCTAATCGCAGAAAGAAATTCTGACTGCCATTATGAATTCTGCATATATGAAAAAAATTTTTGTGAAACTGTATGTGCTCACTAAATTGGCGAGATATCGTCAAGCTGGCGATGGTTTTGGCGACTAATTTTTGTCCGGTTCCTTTTTAACTATAATTGGTACTGCAATTGAATAACTGTATTTGATCCCTATATGTAACTGCAACTGCATCCGGTCCTCATATGCCTTCTAGTAATTTCGAGAAATGGAGGTACTAGTGACTTCTCGCATCCCTCCCCTTAGGCAGATAGCCCTAGTGTGCTTTGCCATAATTAAATACACCAACACCAACACCAACTAGTGACTTCTCAGAGGCTTGGAGAAAACTATGAGACCGGAGAAAGCATCAACTCTCAGTTTTTCTCAGTTGTCTAGTTCAGCGTGAATTCGGAATACTGAGCAATCTTCATAGAAGCTTCGCATTGCATTGGATTTATCCTAATAGTTTGAAGTGAAGTAATTCCTAGTTGTATGATTGTGCTTAGTGAGAATAGTTGTACGAGTGCTTTTGTGGAAAGTAAGCTTTCTTGTACATGACAATCTTGTAGCATAATCCATACAAGTGACTGCCAGGAATTAAGTAACTTATAGGTACTATGTGTTTGTTCTTACAAATATGCTCAATCACTAACACTGAATAAATATTGCAAAAGTGTTATAGAAAGTTGCAGTCAAAGAGCAACACTCATTGACTTCACTGTGAAACACTAACTGCTATTCTAAACGTTGAACTACATTTCTAACAACACTTCAATGTAACAAACATATAATCAAATATCAGCAGAGTTGTCGAAAATGGTGCAGTCTACAAAGCAATTATTTTTAAGGTAGTCTAAAAAATTACTATATGCTAACAGACTTTACAATTAATACTTAATTTCATTACATAGATATCATAGACTGACACACTGATAAACTACTAACAAATTTTGAACATTCTTTTCTTAGTTGGTAAATAGGAATTCAAAATAGAATAATAACTATAGCATAAAAATCGTAAATTCAAAATGTACTTCAGGTCTTTCAAGAAGGAAGAATGTCAGCACGAATTGAAAACAATTTAGAAACAATCTGAATTTCTTTTAAACACACTCAGAGAAGGATTCACAGTTCCACACTGAAATGACTTAAATCCCAAGAGTATAAGTCAACATAAAATGAAGCTACGGATTCACTTTTCTTTCAATGCAAAAAGACCCAACCCACCGGCGATTACGGTCACAAAGCCGATGCGAACATATAGGTAATTCAATAAACGAGCAATAGAGACGATACAGTTCGAAGACTATAGTGAAAGAAACACGCAATTGCTGGTACTTATGCACCGCGGTTATACAGATTGAAGAGCCTGGAGTGCCCAAAATGGGCTCTCATCTATCTTGTCAGTTGCATTTAATGGTCGATAGTAGAGGGAGAAAACCTCAGGGGGACTGTTAACGGAGAGTTTTCTTTCAAACTCTTATAGAAGCCACAGAAACAATTCAGAGCATCCAAGCCATTGATTTGGAGAAGTATGTGGGAAGCCCATTTCAATCAGATGGAGAAGGAAAGGAATTAAATAACGCATAAGATTTGTCACTCCTACTCACTAAGAAAAATTATGATTATTTTATCATTCAGAATGGAAAGCAGCAATTTCAAGTAAGGTTGGATGAGCCATTAAGAAAAGAGGTTTACATTCATAGTATCAAGACCGCGTAAGCTCGACTTTTATCAATAAAGAACTGAACCAACACTAGCCTATAATCGACATTGGTTGCTTAATAGACAAAGCTTTAAGTAGCATCGACACATAATCAAAAAGGAAAGAATTTATTAAATTATTTTTAAAGTGTCTACAGTGGATCGTTACTGGCGTCGGATAGACACATGTTTTTGAGCGCCATATCGATGTATTGCCGGGAAAAAAACTGTTGATCCTACGCAACATTCCGAGTAAAAGAGCACCATAAACAATCGATAATCCATAGCTCAAAATTATCCCTTATGTTTTAGAACAAAAATTTTTATTTACCTCTCGTCCTCTTTCGAACTGATCGCTGAGATCTCGAAGAGACCTACCAATACGTTGCAGTACCTCTTGTGTTGGTGGCAAGTTGACGGATAAAGAGCGGATCCTCCGGCTGACAGATGGAGAAGACTGAAGGACCACATCTGGTAAAGGTTGGCCATTAGCCACCAGAGCGTAAGACGAAGAATTGGTCTCCGCCATATCTAAAAAAAGGGAAGAAAAAAATCTATCAATAATTTTTCTGCTAATACCTATTAAAGAATACATCGGAAAATATCACATATTCACTTTATTAGATTTACACGATGTACGAAAACTTTAATTTTTATTACTGCGATAATGTAAATAATGAGCGATTACAGTTTTAATACTAATTTTCGCGAATAAGAATACTGAACGCGGGTATCTGACAGATATGAACGAAATGGTCCATGAAAACATTGCCAGCTGAGTTGTCAAAAATGTCGCATCCTACAAAGTAATTATTATCTATAAAGGAACCAAAAAGAACATTAACCACACATAGCAAATATTATTGTTGAAAAAAGTCTACCGTGTAAATATCATCAACAGAGTGGCCGAAAGAGACGTAGTTCAAAAGGCAAATGTCGTCAATAAAGTATCTGCACCAAGAGATACTGAGCTCGGGTGCATGTACCCAGAAGGTATTTTGTAAAAGTTCTAAAAAAAATCAGCCTGAAGTAATCAAAGAAATTTGTTAAGAAATATTAAAATGGATATGAAGTGATAGCGATAAATAAACGCATATATGTAAAAATATGGCACTGTTCGAAATAATACATCGTTCGGGAAATAAATAATTCCTTATAAATTGCAATATTTTTTAGCAATTTTAGTTTGCCAACTTCCAAATCGACCAACTGAGAGATATTTAACTAAATTCAAAGAAAGGTTAAAAAATAACATAACAGTCTAATAAGTTTTTTAAATAACTGTTCAACTTAATTAAAGCGTTTCCTGTAAAAACAGAAGATAATAATTATGCGCGAAGAGACGCATCACTTGAGTTTAAGGGAGAGGAACTATGAATCCAGTAGGCTTAAAATAGCGAACAGCATATCAGTGACATGGCAGAGGTAATGTAAATATTTCTTTACATCTTTGAGCATCATAAGCATTAAGGCAGCTAGTACACGCAGGTCACTTAATGGTAATATATGCAATTATTGATTTTTTTTAATTTCTTTGTTTTGGGAGAAAGAAGTGCAAAACTGAGTTTTCAATTAAGCTTATGGTTAAAATCAAACTTATCAGTCAATAAAGTTATATCATTTCAAGGATAAGCACATTCTTCTAAGCAACTTAAAACAAGTATGCTTCGAATAATTGAAACGTTTCTGTTCTAAATTTTCTGCCTTGTTTCTCATTAGAAGATACTAAAACTGATATATGTATATATATATTGAACTGGTCTTAAAAATTAAAATTTTCGGCCCCCCTCCCATTTTATCACACGATATTATATCAATATATATAAAACACTATCACAAATTTTTCCCATCTTTGTAGATTTGGTTCTTAATTTCTTTTTGTCAACAATTATATATATACATACACACATATTTACTGTCAAACAATAAGTTTTCATTATATATATACATTTCTTTCAAGAGTATAGGAAATGAAAAACCGATATAGAATCAGCATATTATCAGTAATAACGCACAGGATATCACCGATTCATTAATACGAGTAATTTATTACGGAACACAAATCCCCCAGTATATATAAATTATCTGTAATGGAAATATAAATTATTTGTAATCACATTTTAATTGTCACTCAGTTTCTTCTAATTAAAAAAAAACTATTATTACTCGTATTTTCTTTCCTTATCAAAACTGAGTACGCAAGAACACAGTGATATTAATTAATGCCACTGCAAAGCCTTATAAAACCAAATTCATTCAGAAGTTTGCTCCCTTTTTTCTCATCTTTTAGCAGCAGCCTGTGACCTGTTGCCACTAATTCAGCAGCATATAATAAAAGATAAATTAATTATCGCATACTATATAATACAATTAGTCAGCACAAGGGTGGCTTCATCGTTACCGTTAAATGACGTGGCGTCATTAATTCTTAGCCCGACTTATGGCCTCTTTGCATTGCAGAGGACTGTCTACAAAAATAAAATTCCGTCGACACAATGGCAGCACAAAAATAGTAATAAAAAAGAGACAATAAATATGAGAAGGTGGAAAGAGTGCGAGGATGACAGACATTAAAACGGGAGTAGAGTGATCTGGTCTTTTGTGAATGGGTGCAATTAATAACGGGGCAGCGCCCATAATGATCGCCATGCGCCAGAATTAATGCAGCGTGACTGAGCTTATATTTCTCACACACAAAAGGGTTGCCGAGATCCCGCCAAGACCAGAGAAATGGCGATGGCAGTAATAAAAGGAAAATTAGATCAACAGTATTTCGCTCGAATGGATTAAATTATAAGTTTCAAGACACTGCATAGAAAAAGCATTTTGATTAAATCTATGTTCTCTGATTTTCTCCAAAATATACTATTAGATCTCCTCCATCATTTCAATTTGATGTAGAATTCATTATGATTCGCTATAAATACAAGCGCAATGAATGGAAATTTTTATAGACAAAGAATTACATATATATTTACAACAGCCCACCAGTTGCCGCGTGGATAAGTTTGCTGAATACTAGTAGTTCGATCTGTTTCAAATCACGGTGAAAGGTTTGATGCATGATTTCTCCGCGCATTTCCCATGTATAACGCGAATACCAACCAGTTTTCCTTAAACAGTCTACCACGAAGGCATCCCTCGTTTTATGCAGATAGCCCTTGTATGCTTTGCCATAATAAAATAATCTAATCTAAATGTTTAAGTGCATTATAAAAAGACCCAGCTTTGCGTAATCTACATCAAATTTTATGCTACTTCCCGCTACCCTAGCTAAATCTTCCGATAATTAAATTTCTTAATTTGTTGAAAATTTTATATTTACAGATTTAATTTAGTTAAACATGTAAAACTTTTGATTCACGCAAATGAAGCTTTTAACGAAATGTAACACAGGTAAATCATTGCTCATTATATAGACTGGATTGTTAAAAGAAAGAAGAACATGAATTGGACTCCAAATCTTTCCCTAAACGTCTGTTCCACTATTAAAATTCAATAAATTTTTTTCTAGATATTGACTACAAAAAATTTTAAAAAATCTCAATATAGGAACTTTTCAATACATAACGATTATATAATCAACTCCACATTTGTTGGGATAGATTAAATGGCTCTGTCTGAAAAGTTAAGTATGTTCGTTGTGGAATAATGGAAAAAATTGCTATCCCAATTATATTAATTATTCTTTAATGTCATATATAAATAAATGTCTTTATTTTTAGGAATGTTTATTCCTCCATTAATTATACTGTGTTCTTTATATTTGGAATACTGATTTGATTTAAGTAACTAGTAAAACTGATTCTTCAAGTTAAACTGTTTAATTTTTTTTTTTTTTTTTTTTTCACCCGACACGAGACAATTTCCCGCATATTTTGTGAATTTCTTAGCTTACTTGAAAGTATTTCAAAGAAATCTAATGGTTCTGTTATCTCTGGAGATACTTGCGGTCCTGTGGCTTTTTCGTTAGATAAAAACGCTATTCTTTGCGTTATTTCTTCGGATTTTGTGCACGTTATCCATTCCGACTCTTCTACGAGTGATTGCCGCTTTCACATTCATTATCTATTACCCTGCTTTTTCGACCTCTTACTTCATCGCTATCTTCATCACTATCATCCCCCTCTCTATCATCAAGTAATCTATGCACAGACGTAATTTCGTTCTTCATCAACGAAAAATCAAACTCATGTTTACTTGAACTGATTCCTTCATCGTATTCCACGCTTACTGAGTTCCGTAACTTTGAAAATATTCCTATTGCCACGACTGTAGAGTTCGAACTAACGTCGAAGATACAGGTATAAAAATAAATCCAAAAAAGCATATTTAAGATTAAAGATCGGCAGTTGTTTTATACGCATGTATTGTTTAATACACTCATGAAGTGATATTGCCCAAACCAAAAATAAACATCGTTACCACTCGATTATCGCGTCAAACCGATTGGTGATCCAGAGTCACCTCTCGAGTTACCGCATCAAATCACAGCGATGACCCAGATTCAAACTCTCGAGTGCAAGGGATTAATTTTGTTCATTTCGAGTGATGTTTATTTCTCCGTTACTTATAGTGTGTTCTTTATATTTTGAATACCGAATTAATACAAGTAGCCAATTAAACTTATTCTACATTTAAAATTAAACTTATTCTACACTTACGTTAAACTGTTAAATTGTTAATACGAGTAATAGTAGTAGTATAATGATTGATTCCCTTTTTCTGGATTTTTGTTACTGAGCTGTGATTAACCATGATTCCGAGTTAATCATAGACCGATATCCCATCGATGAATCGGAACCTCAGTGCTTTTAATCTTTACATATATAAACGCGGATAGCCGGGTAATATTCCAAAAATTTAAATGTTATTAAATTTTCTTTTGTTGCATTATGTTTTAAAACTTACTATGGGCAACTTACTATATTATTATGTGCATCTGTTTTTAAATAAATGTGTCTGATGGAATGCTAAAACTATAAATCTTATTTGTCATTTAGCACCTCCTAAATGAACTCAATAATACAAGTAGATTGCCAAAAAAATTGAATTAGTTTCAGAACGTGGGATGTAAAAATACACACTGAGAAACACAAGACAAAATCTATGAACATAAAAGAGCACAGCAATAAAATGACAATAAAACATCACAGCTCTTTGATTTTGAGAGAGATGCTGAAATCTAAGAGCAGAAGATGCTCTGCAGCCAAAGTGGCGATACAGGTTTCAATGAGGATGACCCAGAGCGCCACAGCAGCCGTTCGTAAACTCTTCCGAAAGACTCGTAAAACTGTGGTGCCATCTTGTTGATGGCCTGAGAATAATAACGCGATGCGTGTCGCTTGGATATCTCAGCTTTAGGAGAGGCTTTTTATATTTATTTGCTGGCATCAATTTCATCCCATGGATGACCATTTCGCAGATCGTACGCTGTAGCTTCTTGATTCTTCGCATTCCCGGAGAGATACATTCTTACTGCCGTAACGATGCATATAAAACTCGTGCTTGCAAAGAGGTCACGAATTTTA